TCTGAGAATACAGGTTTCTCTCTATAGGATCTTCGTAAGGGTTTACTTTTGTGTGTCACTGTGGTAGATGGTCCCCCAAAGAATCTGCCAGTAATAGACTCCTCATGTTGCACTTGCACTGTCTTTGTAACTTGCTTTTTTTGATCAATAGATTACAACAGAACTGATGCTCTATAACCTCGGAGTTAAGTCACAAGAAACCTCTCAACTTCCACCTGTTTCGCAGGATATTCCACCTTAAGATATTCCTGCTTGGAAGCCAGCTACCAGGAAAGGAATGTGACTACCTGGACCACTCTGCCATAAGGAGCCCACGCCACATGAAGATGCCCTGTATCAGTGCTCTGGTCAAAACCTTAGTTGAGCTCTCAGTGAAAGCCAGCATCACTGCCTGACAGGTAGGTGAATAAGCCATCTTGGGAAGCCCAGTAGAGACTTCCAATGACTACAGCCCCTGCTTTCACCTGATTGCAACTACATGAAAGATTTCAAAGGAGAACTACCTAGCAGAGTCCTGTTAATTCACAGAACTATGAGAGAGACTTTAAAAAATGTGTTTATTTTTATTATTATTTTTTTATTTCAGAAAGGAAGGGAGAGGGAAAGAGAGATAGAAACATCAATGATGAGAGAGAATCATTGGTAGACTGCCTCCAACATGCTCCCTACTGGAGATCCAGCCCGCAACCTAGGCATGTGCCCTGATTGGGAATCGAACCGTGATCTCCTGGTTCATAGGTCAACACTCAACCAGCAAGCCACACCTATGGGAGTACTTCTCTCTTCCCGAGACCAGCACGGAAAGAGAAATGAACTGGTTCTTTGAGTAGAGGTGCTTGGGGTTGAGAAAGAAATGAAAGAGACAAGACACAAAAATAGAAGAAGCTGGGTCTGGGTGGGCTTCTGTCCTCTGATGGAGGGACAGACAGGCGCCCAGCACCAGAAGTAAGTTTAATATATACTCGAAGTAACAGGAAGTTACATCACATCTGGGTGAGCTTTGAGTTCCTAGCGATTTAATGGGATCCACCCCCTTAGCACCTGAGCAGGAAAGGTCAGCCTGAGTGACATCCTTGCCTCTTGACTAGGACCGCCCCCAGGGCGTGGCTCTGCCTGCGCCCTGGGTTCAGCCGACATATTTAAAAATGCCCGCTTGCCAGAGGCCCTCCACACACACCCGTGAGGCTAAATATTGTTGTTTTTTTAAGTCAAAGTTTGTTGCATTGTAGGTAGCCACATTAGGTTTAAAACAGGGAGGAAAAATTAAAATATCATATTGAAATTGTTTTAAGTATTATCATGCATGTAAAACATGCTAGTTGCTACACAATTAATTTCTAACCTGAATGTTGGGCAGAACCAAACTTATTAAATATGTTTGTCCTGTCTTGGAATATACTGTTTCTCCAGTCACTTTCATTCTTAAGTAACTTGAATGGTTTCCTGGATAAAATGTTGTACTTCCCTAAATGATCTACTTGTTTGAATCTCAATTTTACCAATACTTTGTACAACCTACTATTTTCTTGCTACATTAGAATGCTCATCAGTTTTATGGTCTCTTTCTATGTCTTTTTATAAAAATGAAGCAATCTTTTTATGTCTACACAAGTGCTTTCAGGATATCAAAATTTGCTTTTTGTTGCCAGTTGCTTTTGAGTTTGGACAGACATGTCACATTTGCATGTGGTGGTAGATATATCCCAATATAGTTATTTCTGCACTTCACTTTTTTTTTTTCTACTTAGACAGAAAAGCACCTCTGGAATGAAATCACCCTACAGTTTTACCTTAAAAACATTGTAGTTTTTAGAGAAAAATATGAATTTTCAAACCCCACCTCAGGTTATTGCCTGAGGCAACTGCCCTTTGCTTTGTTTCTTTAATTTTACTCATGTGTCTTACTGAAACCAAGAACTAAAACACATTTGCCCTCATGTATTGATATAAATTGCCAGTCTACATGTTAATTATTGTTGGTTTGGTTTTTCTCTATTAGATCTGATACTCAGAATAAAACATGAAAGTTAAATCAGAGACTTAGAAAACATCTGTACAGTGACACACATGTATTTTGGCTCAGAAAAAAAATAGTGTTTTTTCTCAGCCAATGTTTTGGACGTGTATTGTATATAACCTCTTTTCTGACCATTGAGAGAGATCTAAAGAGCCTTCATTTTGTAAAAATATGGAAAATCAATGTTTGGCCCTGGCCAGGTACTTCAGTTGATTAGAGTGTTGTCCTGATACCCCAAGGTTGCGGATTCGATCCCCAGTCTGGGCACATTCAACCAATGAATACATAAATAAGTGGAATAACAAATCAATGTTTCTCTCTCTCTTAAATCAATAAATAAAGAAAGTCAATGCTTATTTTTGCTTAAGATTTATTGAATACTATTTATTGTGTGCCTGGGCCTTCAAGGCCCATATGATCAAGTAATATCACACCTAGGTATTTATTAAGAGAAGTAAAAACACATCTCTTTGTTATTACTTAGTATCATTCCATTGTGTGGGTCCACCACTTTTTGTCTATCCCCTTACCATCAGCATAGCATTTGGGTTTCTTCCAGTTGGGTCATTATATAAAGCTACTACAAGATTTGAGTACACATTTTTTTAATGGAGCTGTGTTTTTATTTATCTTGGATAAATACTTAGGTGTGATATTGCTAGATATGTGGTAAGACTAGTATTTGAACCCTAACAATGTTGGTCTTGGGCAGTCTTTCCTTTAGTCATCATGCTTCTAATTAATGATAAAAGTCAGTCAGTCCCAAGAGTTATGAAATACTGAACACTGTACCAGGTATAAAAGAGAACACAACAAAACCTTGATAGTATAGATAGACATTTTACAACCTCCAGTCCAAATAGAGGCCACCCATCGTGAGGAAAAAATATCAAGAAAAATTACAACTCAAGTTCTGATTTTGATTCCACTTTAAAAACTTAATAGATTTTTTAGGTTAAGGTAAATAACCATTTTTGAAAATGTCCACACGTGAAACTATTCCTGAGCCCAAATCTCTGTTTAGAAAATTCATGTATGCAATTCAAACACTGTATTTAATTGGCAGAAATTACTTTTTAAGGGTACAAAAAGAGTTTTCCTTACACACCCAAATGATTACTCTGAATATGATCTGGGACTCCAATGATGGCTTTGTTAATTATTCGTCCTTGCAGCTGACCTTAATACCCGTTTAAGACCAAAATGGCTAGAATTACCTGCCCGCCCAGGCTCCCAATTGTTACTGAGACAAGTAGAGGAGCTCCAAGGAGTTGAGGACGCACAGGTAACGGTGCGGTTGGTTGAGCAGAATCTTGACATTTTTAAAATCGTCCTGCCCCGCTGGGCTAAGGCTGCCTTTTGACAGGAGAGGCGGGTGTGAAGACACTTGTTACCGGATAACGGCGCTTGCATATGTTCACACCTATCGTGGTACCTCCGTAGTCTCGGACT